CTCTCACTTCAGAGAGTAATTTTGCTGTTTGACAGTTTTACAGGATTTGTCACGAAAAGTATTGGATCAGAGCTAAAGTTCGGGAAAAATCTTGCAACTTCATTCTCTACACAACTCTCCAAAAGTCGCTCTCATTTACAGGATTTTGGAGGATTTTGGAGTACGGGAACATCTATCCTGCCACTTCCTGCAAGTTCGTGTAAAATCCTGTAAGTTTTATTAATTTAAAAAAAAAAAACATCTGTGAAGTGAAGGACAAAAGCCTGTACAAACGAAAAAATATAACAACAATGTCATTGGAGTATGTTGGAGTAGTTTTGTGCTACTCTGATGTAATGCAGAGATGGAGTATATGGTCCTGCCCTAGGACATCGCAATGTTAATTGGACCATATTTTTTATATGAGTTGTGGTTAATTTTGGAGTACTCCTTGGTCCTTCAGGAGTACTCTTTACATGCATGCATGAAGTCGTCGCGATTTTTGCAGGGAATATAAGCTCTGATCCAGTACTCCATGAACTTACAGGATTTTACACGAACTTGCAGGAAGTTGCAGGAAAAATGTTCCCGTACCCCGAAATCCTCCAAAATCCTGTAAATGAGAGCGACTTTTGGAGAGTTGTGTAGAGAATGAAGTTGCAAGATTTTACCCGAACTTTTTCTTCTGGTAAAATCATGGAAAGTGTCAAGCAATCACTGGTTGACGTTTTAAACTTTGGACTACTTACAATCGCTTGTAGTCTAGTTTGTGGTATGCTCTAAATCTATTTCAAGATCCTAAAGGGTGCTTATATAGTATGTTAGTGTATTCGTGGATCCGGTCGTGCTTGTTTATGGCACACGTGCTCAGTTTGGGGTATGTGCATCAACAGCTAACTTCGTCCCCACACACACATCAGGTACGGCCGAATCGTGGGGTAATTGAAGCATTGGGACATCGCAAGGTAGAGGTACTGTGCCTGGGAACAAACGAGAGCGCTTAGAAATACTCAGTTGCAATGGGCAACAAATATAAAGTCACTGGCCCTAAAATGGTTCTCGCACACACACTAAGAGTATTCCAATGAAACACCGCAGCTATTCGCCCACCTTTTTCGCTTCTATTGACAATAAAGTTTGTTGTCCTGGCACTTGCCACACACAGCACACCGCTCGTAAATCCTATTAATTTTTTTGTGTATTTAAAATCAGTAGCACAGCCCACAATTGAAATTTTTAACTAGAAAATTAGAATTTTTAATTGTATAGGGTTAAGAGTTGACATTTCAGTCGCAGTTCAAAAGAGAGAAATGTCGAAATCACTTCTACCTTGTTATCCCTTGGTTATACCCAAGGTGTATTAAACAAGGTGTGATTGACAACTCAGTGCGGCTCTCTTTTAAGATACTATAATGTCAAAAAGTATAAACAAACGAATTAACCCTTAGTGATGCATGTATCTTGTCAGCACTGATACCCGAGGCTTTTATTTTGATTATAGTTTTGTTTTACTTACATTGCCTGGAATATATATGTTTTGTCAAAAAAATAAAACAAATTGTTTATAAAATCGTTTAAGCAATTTTATTGTTTTTAATTGCCAAGTTTTATGCTTTTGTGCGTTTATTTTCATATTTCAATTTTTTATCCTAAACATTATTCGACACTTATAAAAGTATGATTTTACATTTTTTCCAATTTTATATGACTGCTTAACTCTAACAATTTTGAAATTAAATTTCTTTCGTGCGAAATAGTTTGGGTATAAACGAGCTGAAATCACTTTCCTTGAAGTGGTTTTCACAAACGCGAGATTAATCACGTAGTATAACACCGCATCGCTGCCGTCTTAACTCGCAACTAGGTGGTTTAAAACATCGCACTATTTTCGTGTCCTGACTTCTATTGCATACAGCGCACCTTTCAAAAGTTTTGCTCCGTTTCATCTTGGTTTCCTCACATTAAATATTTAAGCAAAGTATTTACTTATTACCAAACTTTAAATGTGCTTACTTGCTCTCCTCGGCGGTTTATCTCTTAACAATTTCACGTTTGTTAAAAAAATTTGTTGCTTGAAAGTTTTTGTGCACATTTTTTTTTAAACAAATTCAAATTTGAAAAAAAAGATATTTTCAAATGGGTTAACAATTCATTTCAATTTGACATTATAGCCTGTTTCTTATGAGAGCAACTTCAAAATCAATCACACTTTGTTGAATACATTTTAGTTCTACCTTCCTATTTTTTTTATCATGCTTGCAACTTAGACGAACAGGTGATATAATTTTTGTTTACGTTCGAAAGTGTAAATTTTAAAACGTACGAAAATTCATCACAAAGTGGTATCCTGACACAGTAACAAGTGGTCTCCTGACATTA